TAATCCACAATGTTGATTCACCAGTACGAAGTATGAACACAGAAGATTTTAGTAAGGTCGCTGCAGACATGACAGTGTCCAAGGGGTTCTTATCTCCCTTAAACACAAATGAAGCAAGAGAAGCTATAGCCTCCTCTGTCTCTGAAACAATCGCATTAACTCTTGAGGTCTTAAATAATGCTTCAATAATTTGGAGAACGTGCCTTGTGAGTGCTGAGAACCGTGAACCAACAAGCTTATTCATTTCTGAAAGAAGTTTTGAACTGACTTTTGCTGAGAGAAAGGGAACAGTAAGCTTCACCACATTTAGCATGTGAAGGACCTCTAGATTTTTAGGTCCATTTTTAGTCCGTGAACTTAATTCAACTGCTAAAGGCATGTAACCTTTGAGCTTAGACAGTACCAGCTTGCTCACCTCCTTGATAACAGCACGAGAGTGGAGCGACTTAAAAACACTCTCAAGACAATCTTGGGAACATTTACGGACCTGCAACAATGAAACTGTGCACATAAATTCTCCAGATATAAATAATCCAACTTCAATTAGTAAGGGGTAGCAAATACACAAAGCTCCTGTTATCAGAAGGTCTTAAATGGTCAGACCCAGCTTGCGGAGAGGCTGTTTTTGTTTCTTTCACCTCCAACTCACCAGAGAACAATATTACTATTAGACCAAGGCTAGCTCTAAACAATCTTACTATAAAATACTTGAATTGTCATTATGGTTTGCAAATAGTCATTAATTTTTTGACTTTCCATATAGAAGTCCTCCAAACTACCAAGCTGTTATGCACAAAGCTCATGCTCCCTGTGCGGCTCACACCAAGTGTACACATTTTAAACCCACTTATGCTAATTATACGTAAACAACAACATAATCAAAGACCTCCTACAAAATTAAACAAAGAAGCAAATTACAAAACACGAATTCAGACAGAAAGCTCTATACACACCTTGGGCCGCCTATCGACGGAGAACTTGAGCAATGTCTCCAAACCCAATTTGATGGATCCCCAATTCTCCAAATCACAAAACCCCACCAAAACCCCCAAACATTTTATCAAAGCCCTCACGCTGGACATGGCCAGCCCCTCCTCTCTCTCCAGAAGCTCAATCAACATCGATACGGCCTCACCCGCCTTCCCTGACGAGACGCTCCGTGGAGGCATCAGCGGGAGCACCATGGCTAGAAAAGACAACAGCGCCGCTACGCCGGTGGGGTCCAGGTTCTGGGACGCGGAAGACGACATTTCGTCGATGGCGGAGATGGTGGCGGCGAAATAGGCCGGTGGAGTGAGGGGAAGCGACTCGGCGGCAAGGATTGAGCGCATTGCGGCGGCAGTGGCGAGGAGGTGGCGGTGCTGCGAAGCCGAGGACTTGGCGTAACGGTCCATGAGCTGCTGGCAGATGTCTGCGCCATCGTTGAATGGCTCTATTGCTTCTGCGTCTAGGTCTTGGTGGTTTTCTTCGTCCATGGTGGTTTTTGGTTATGGAGGGTTTTGGTGGCGTAAGGGAGAGGACGGGAGGGTTTTAGCGGTTTGGGTTTTGGGTTGGGGAAGGTTGGGCTTCAAAAAGTTTTCAAATGGATAAAATTGGGTTTGGGCTTAAAGTAGAGGTTATAATCTTTTCTCTGGGCTTATTACTTCTTATTTCTCAAACGTAATCTCTTTCTTTATTCCTCGTCATCTTTGGTGGCTCAATTTGGAATGAATTTGAGTTTAATCCAAGACAGTTCTTATGAGTCCCACATACCTATATTGGACTTGTATCATACAATATGTTAGATTATTACTCAATTTAATTAAAATAGTCCAATCTTGTCTAGTGCTGGGCAATTGAACCAATGCACGTGGTGAGGGGTTCACCGAACCAGACTCCTCGATGTTGAATTTTTGAAAGTCAATGCTGAACTGACAGGAGGAGAAATCGACAACACTGATTAACCAAACCACCGGTTTGGTTGCAATTTGGTTTACATGGCAACGCCGAGATTTATCTTGGCTTGGACCAGATCTGTTGATTGAGATGCAGATAGAAGGGAGAAAGTGGCGAGAAACATACATAGATGGATGACAGAGAGAGAAACCATTGAGAGAGACAAAGAAGGAGATAAAATTTTGAGAAGATAATGGAAGTTTGGCCTGAGGAGTAGGGCCGGTTCTGAGATTTTGAGGGCCCTGTGCAAAACTTAAACGGGAGCCCTCAATCTAATATGAAAATATTTATTAAAAAAATTTGCCATGACTTAACACCATAAAACAATTTTTCTAATAACTAAAATTCATCATCTATTTAGGTTAGCATGCAATAACATTCATAAAAGTTTTAATGTTTCAATTTGAGAAAATGGAAGAGGAAAAAGACGTGAACTTTTTTTGTTTCATTTTGAGTGGGTGAAAATATACACTCCAAAAATTTGTTTCATTGGAGAAAGCTTGTATATATTGCTTTCTTCTTCTTTGATGTGTTTCCTCTTTCTTTTTTTTTCTTTTTTTCTCTATTGTTAATATAAATAATGTAAAAATACAACTACAAAATGACACAATATGAACTCGAACCCTTGCTTACTTAAATCAAGGGGATAAATTCCAACTCAACCAAATACACACTTGTGTTACTTTCTTACACGCTCAACTATATATATAATACCTATAATATTAATATCCATAATATACACGTAAAAAATTTCGAGGCCCTTAAAAATTGGGGGCCTTGTGCTGTGGTGCCACACCCTCAAGGCGCCTGCTGAGGAGATGAAGATGGTGGCGTGGCTTAAGGAGATGAAGATGGAGGCGTGCTTGGCGAGATGAAAATGGAGGTGTGGCTTGTGGAGACGAAGATGGAGGCGTGCAAATAGAGATGAGAGAAAGAGATAGGGCAACATATCTGTTAGGGTTAAAGCTGAACACTTGAATATATATATATTAAAATAACTAACTAGGAATCCATTAAATATATTGATTACACACATAAATCACAAGAGAACATGTTACTTCAGTGGTTTGGATTGATTTGGTTCAGGTGAATCGATGGTTCGACAATACTCAAACTGCAAGTTAGACCGAATTGACTGATTCAGTCCAATTTATCATTAAGACCAGTAAAGCCAAACAAGTTGCAGAAAACAAAAGTACCACAATAAAAACGACGTCTAGATCCGAAATAAGAAACAGTTGCCTGTTTGCTCTTTGTCAATAAGTCGTGGCCGTCGTATTTCAATGGATACAACAAGTCATAATTATCACAGGGAGACTCATCAAGAACAACAAGTCGAGGAACTTCAGTGGTAGTAAACATTAAAATAAAATAACCAAATTGACCGATTTGGTCCAATCTAATTCGGTTAATTTCACCAATTTACAATTTATAATGCCTAGCCCTAGTCTTGTCCAAACCACCAAAAGTGTGGCCTCGATTTGTGGCTTGGATTTGCATGCATTATGTATACTTGATTTAAAAGAATGCTTTTACTTTCAAAATTAAACATATTTATATTTTCTTAATTTGTAATGAAGTTGTTAATTTCTGTTTTCTTCTCCTTAGCAATATGTAATTTTTTAAAGTATAAAAAATTGTTAAAGAATATATATATATATATATATATATATAAATTAGTAACTGACATTATGAAAAGGTAGTGTTACAAGTGTAATTCAAATTATTACAAAAAATAATATATCCGACACCATAATAAATGTAATAGAAAGGATACATGATAAGATCATTATAAAAACTAAAAGAGAGATTTTTTTTTAAAATTTTTTATTTTGAATTGTAAAAAGATATCGAAATCATCATAGTTTGGAATCAAAAAAAGAAAGTAGAGAGAGCATATAAAGGTTTGTAAGTTATAAAAGTTGTCTCATGAGTTACGATATCTCTCATTATTAAGCTAGCAAAGAAAACTTTGACCAAAAAAAAAAAGCTAGCAAAGAAATAAAAATATATATTGACCAAAAAATAAATAAAAATAAAAATATATAGCGAGTAAAAAATTGGTGGTGGTGGTGGTGGGTCAGTGGTTGTTCAGTAATCAGTAGGGCCGGGAAAATTCCATCCAACGGTTCTCTCCCCATCTAACGGCTCTATTTTTCAAATTAGCCATCCCGCCCGCCCGTCCGCATCTCACTATTTCAAATGGCGTTTGCTATTCGCGCGACTAGCCTGACACGTGGTTTTGGGTTCTCAAGGGAGCTGAAGCATTTTTGTTAATTTCCGTTTCTGCCCTTGTGCATATCGGATAACACCGGACAGATATTCTTCAAAAGAAAGTGAAAAGGGCAAAAGAGGAATATTTGTACAGATTCTTAGCTAAAAACACCCATCTCATCCCTTGACTTCTGTTCTTGATGTTTGGGCATTTTCTGTGAATTTTTGACATTATAATGAGACATAGAAACTCTTTTGGGTTTGTTTTTTTGTTTCCTCTGCAAACTATCTCTATGTCTATGGATTTTTCTGCATTAAAGTAATTTTTTGATGAATGCATCACCTTTTTCATGGAGTTTTGCTATGCATTATTTTGTTGACAGAGAGGGGGGTAAAAAGGGAAAATAGAAAATAAGCAGAGAGTGAGGAGCTCAGTCGCTTTTAGTGGAATGGCAAAACATACTCATTTCAAATTCTCTGTCCTTTTCTTTCTCTCTCTCTCTCTCTCTCTCTCTCTGGATTAAATTAAATGGTTAGATAGATTAAATCCCCAACGGCTAAAGCCACAGAGAAACCATTTTGAAATTGTCTCGAGCAAAGACAAAGGACCACCATCACCATGTCTTTCCCTCAGCCTCATCTCTTCTGATATAATTCAAAACCCCACCTTTCTTTCTCTTGCCGTTTTCTCTTTAGGATTTTCATCCAATATTGGGTTTCTTCTTGTGTGATTTGATTTACCCAGATTAGATTAGATTAAATTTTCAATCTTTCGACATCAAAACATCAATTTCTGTTCTCTGTTGGTTGAGTTTAGGCTTGAACCCCACATACCCACAAGCTCATTCTCCATGGGTACTTGTTTTAGCAAAAAGAAGAGGAGCTCCTCTCCTCTTCCTCTTCCTCCTCCTGCTGCTACTGGTTATGGCTATGTAGTGGGTGAAGATCCAAATGATAACAAGAACAAGCCCAAATCGGTTTCGGTAGTACCAGAGCCAGGTCGGGTTGAAATGAAGGCGAAGAAGCCGGAACGAAAACAAGAACAAATTGAAGAAGAAGAAGAAGATCAAGAAACCCAAGTCCAAGTGAAGAAGGAGGTATTCATCATCAAACACCGCAAGAGCCACGACGGTAGAGGGGACAGAGATTGCGGAAAAAGCTCACTTCCCCAAAATCAAATCCAACAACAACCATCAGTATCAGATGGGGGGGCTGATGTTGCTGCTGCCTCTGCTTCTGCTTCTCCTCCTACACCTCAGATTGCTAATAGTTCCACCAAGACTGGTACTTGCGATGAATTAGCGGATGACGTTGACAAGGTTGTGAAGCGGGTGAGGACACAGAGCTGCAACAAAGAAGAACTGGACGCCATTCTTCTACAGTGTGGAAGGCTCAGCCGCAGCAACTCTTCTGGGCACAATCGAAGGTATTCTGGTTCGAAGAGGAGCTATGACTTTGATGCTGTAGATGGTCATGTCATTGTCAATGAAATTTGTCATGAGGATGCTGATGCTGATGGGATGTCTGCAGCGGACAAAATCCATCGCCACCGCCAGTCCTCGAGGTCAAGGCCTTCTTCTCCTTCTTCTCAAGGGAGGAGGAGGAGGAGAACTCCAAGCAGAGAAAGAAACCAGCAGCAGCAGCAGAGATCCAGCAGCAGAGAGAGACGAACTAGTCGATCCCCGAGCAAGCGCTCATCTTCCCAACAAAACCCCTCTGCTTCTTCTTCTTCTAATGCTAATGCCAATGCCAATGGGAATAACAGGCCAGGAAAGATGGTTTCGGTCCCTGCCGCCGCCATTTCTTCTCTGGCGACGATGGAGAAGACAACCCACATTAACAATGGAGAATCTGCAGCTACCATCAAGCGGGTTTCGGTGAAGAGAAATGTTGGATCTCCCCGTGCTCAGTCTCCTGCTAGAGCAAATGCTAGAGGGGCTCCCAATGAGGGTCAGCAGCAGCAACAACAACCTTCACTTAGCCGTAGCTCCTCAAGAAAAGCAGAGCAATCGCCCTACAGAAGGAACCCATTGGCTGAGATCGATCCTAACTCCCTTGCCTATCCACAAGCGCATACCAACAACAGAACCAAAAGGGAAATCCAGACTGAAGAGGACATTCCTGTCAAGGAACCCACCAATCTAATGAATCCGGTAAGCTTAACTTCTAGTCATTTCCTCCATTATCTTTTCCACTGCATTATATGCAAACGTCTCTACCATTATCATAAATCTAAAGTATATTAGACTAAATGAGAGAGAAGAATAGGAAGGGAGAGTTTGAGAGAGGTTTCAATTGTATCGGTTATTCATCATTATGTTTATATCATAGAGTTTAGATAATTAGGCTGACTTAGGATTTATTAGGATTTACTAATCTGCTAGCCTCTTATACTATTAAGATTACTATGAACTTGCTTTCTCAAATTTAGTTTGATTAATCATCTTGCAGGTGCCAATGCAAAAACCGAATCTCGAAATTAACAATAACAGAACTGTTCCCCATGGTGTTAACTACATAACCAGCGGCACAAGTACAATGGACAACAACAAGGCTATGAGTGCAAACTGCTCATCAAAGGAAAGGCAGCAGAATGTTCCAGCGGAAGAGGCTAAGGGACAGCCACAAGTGAAACCCCAAACATTAACAAGAAGCAGGTCCTCTAGGCGATCCAGAGACCTAGACTTCGAACCTGAAACAGCCACCCTTTCGAATCCTGCTGCGCCGTCTTTATATACTTCATTATTGCTCCAAGACATACATAATTTCCACCAGCAGAACACCCCTAATGTAGTCTCAGTCCCTCCATGTGTAACCAAGGCTTGCTCCATCCTAGAAGCAGTTGCCGACCTCAACTCTGCAACGAAAAGCAACCCTACAGATCAAATAAACAAGAAAACTACTCCTGGTTCCGGCTACAATTGTTCACTGAATGCTAATTATAATGTTGTTGGGAAGAGCATAGCAGATCAGCCCAAAGACCCTTTTGTGGAGTCTGAGGTAGTTGTCAATGATGATCTAATGGAACCAAGCTTCCACAAGTATGTGACAGTGAGAAGGGGCACTGGTGCATTGGAAGGAGGGGGCCTACTAGATATGGAGGACCAAGAATCTTCTGGCAGCAACAGCTTTGTGAGTGGCACTTCTCATTCTCAACAGCATCACTGGGGCTTGTCTTCTTCTTCTTGGGAACCGAATTCAGCTGATTCCACCGATAGCTGGACCTCAAGATCCAACACCAGAGAGGAGGGTCCCAATCACAGAATAACTCCGCTGAGTTTAGATGTGGATGAAGCTGCCAGAAGGAGATTGAGTGGGAGAAAGAGAGACTCTGATGACCATAACCAGCGGAGCGGTGGGATTGGACGTGGCAGGCTCGCTGCAACTAACACTAAAGGGCTTCACACAATTCCAGGTGTTGCAGCTGCAGCATCCATGTAAATGTAGTGAAAGGCTTTTTTACTATTCATTCAGATTTGTACCTTTCAATTTAAGGAACTCTCTAGATTCCATTGTTGTTGGCAGTTGCATACTTGCAACGTTTTTTTAATTGAAGCCCTCATCAGTTTCTTATTTTCCTTTAAATCATTCTTCTGTTCATTCCTTCTTAGTTCTTACACTATAATTTATAACTCTCCTTAACAATTTCTGTTATGTGTTGGGGGGATTTACTTAAACGTCCCATATGGATCAAATTAGCTTGCTTGGCACTCTGAAATGGGATTTATAAAGTGATACCAGACTTTATGATGGGATTCTATAGCAGCTTTGAGGTTCAAATTCTTATGATTTCTATGTTTGAGAGGTTGATTTAGGGGGTTCAATGCTTCATTTCTGACTTTTACTTCCTCTGCCTTTTATTTTGGTTTTGAATGGGCTCGGCTTGGGGTTGCTTAGTAATAGGTTTGTTCAAATTCAGAATGGATACCTCATTCTCATAAATGTTAAGGCATTATGGATTGGGTTGGTTTATGGTAACAAGCTCATTTCTGCATAATGAACTTGGGGTGCTGGGTTTTTTCTTTTCTGGATTACTTTTTCTCACTGTGATGGTCACAATGCAACCCTCTCTGCCTAGCCCTCCTCCCTCTTTCTTTGTAAAAAAAACAAAAACAAAAATAAAAGAAAAAAAATAAAATCAAAATATGTCAGTCATGTGCTTGATGATTTGGATAATGTGATATGGCTGGATGGAGTGTGAGAAATTTAGGGTATTTATTTGCAGGCATAGTCAGTACAGCAGGTAATTCAAATTTCTTCCATAAGGTCCTGCAGTTGCATTTGTGCAGAATGGAAGGCTGATTTGCTGCAGAGATGCTTATACAGTTTCACTTAAATGCCGGGATCAGACAGGCAAGCTTCTAATCCATCGGATATAAGCGATATTGGGGGAGGGGGATTCAAGAAACAAGACCTCAGTGCAGGGGTAAACGCTCTTAACTGTTTAAGCTACAACTCTTGCATATCAACTTTCTTATTGTTGCAGCTACTTTGTAAATCATCAGGAGGCAACAGGTCATTCTGTACTTGCTTATATGCCTTCAGGGGCAGCTGGTTATGACAACATAGTGATATTTGTTCAATTGGCTAGCTAAGGGTGCAATTACTCGTTCCAGTCATCTTAGTTTCTTCTGCAATTTTCCAATCTTTATCTTAATAGACACTTTATGACAAAGAGACTGGAGGCCTTTAAGAAGAAGGAACCATAAAAAAGTTTAGGTTCTTAAACTGAAGGTGGTCTCAAATTTGCCATGTAAGAATGGAGCAAATCGAACAGTTTACTCAACAAGTTATGTACTTAAACTAGAAAGTTGTATGTGCAGCATGCATGACAACACTCTCTTTTAATTTGCCATCCCCAACCAATCATGTCCCACCACGTGTGATAACTTTTCCACGTGTCATAGCATGATTGGTTGGAAATGACAAAAAAGTGCTATCCCAGTGACATACAAGTTCTTCTCTTATAAAGGGGTACGGCAAATTGATTTGGTCTCACGTATTTTTCCTCTAATCATAAATTCATATTTTAAATTAAAATTAATCTAGTCTTAATTTTCAAATTCCAAATTAAAAGCTAGGCGTGGATCATGATTCTAAATTTTCTGTTAAATTAATCTAGTCTTACGTGCAAAGAGATGGTGTACTGGATCATGATTCTAAATTTTGGAGGTTTTGGAAAGGATTTATAGTTCAAATGGTTAAGCGCATTTATCCATGCACCTAAGGTCCTATGTCCAAATTCTCACTCCCCTAATATCACCTCTTTCTTTTTTAAAGAAATTTTTTATAGCAATGCTTGGTTATTAAAAGAGAGGGGGGAAAGGGTGCATACATATTCTTGCTTCACTTAACATAATACATGGTGATAGCTTGTTCACTCTCACAAGAAAAGTCTATATATTACGAGGATAATGTTATTTTGCTATTTTCATCAATCACGTTCTGTTATGTGTAATAAAATTTCACTTAACGGAACATGATCAAATGAGTATAGTAAAATAATGTTATCCCATACTAGTTCTTCTCCACTTTCGCGTATGCAAAGTTCAATGGAGCAAATGTAACAACAAAGACCAAACAAGTGTATGTGACCAATGAAACGCCAGAGAAATGGTCCAAGTGGAGTTCAGCCCACCGTCGTATTTGCCACGATCCATGATTTTTCAAAAAGTAAAAAAGTAAGTAAATTTCAAGGCAAAAAAGATCAAGTGAAAAGTCCAATCAGACGGACCAATAATAACCATTATGAATTAAATTTGAATCGAATGGAGTCCACCGTCATCCTCGCCATGAGTCAATGTCTATATATATAACCATGATGATGATTCAGAACTTTCACCCTAGAAAATCCCACAGAATCACTCGCTTTCAACTTTATAAGGCTTTTGTGAGGGCTTAGGAATCAAACGTTTGGCACATTTAGGTCTTCCCAGATAACTTGATGTCATTAACCCATTTTCATCCTGCCAAAGAGACGGATCAAAGGAAGGGTCTCTACTTTTCTCAACTTAATCATATACATTGCGTTGTCGTATTACAAAAGACATCAGTGAAACCACATACTTATAAGTTATATATCGTATTTTATTTTATCAAATTTCCGACATAATATTTTTACAATCTTTAACAAATGCGCATTACCTTAATCAAAAGTCTGATTTGCACTTGAGCACAAGTTTTGAAAGCAAACATAACCCACAATTAATGTATCATTAAACAAAAACCTCACATGCTTAGAATAATCAAGCAAATCAAACAAACAAACAAAAAAAAACTACAAACTTCCATTTCCTCTGACAAAAAGAGAGAAATATTATATTTCCTCCTCTCTTTGTAAAAGTATTATTTCTGGGAACTAGGGTTTATATATAATAAAGTAATCAGAGTGAGCAGCAACAGTCCAGCCAACAAGTTCAGGTTTTCGAAACAATCTGCGAGGAGCAGCTGTGGACAAGGGCTTTAATATCAACACGTGTGTTTAGTTTCATGGAAACTTCCATCAGATCCACCGTCAAAACAGTGCCAAGAAAAATCCCAAGACCTACTTAGGACACTTCATTCATTCAATGCCTTAATTATCTCAGGCTCAGCTCAGACGATCCCCACCACCTCATCAGATCTTCGTGTCTTATTTTGGCCAGTCAATCATAGACCAACACACGTGTCTCAGATATCACGATTCTAAAAAGAGTTATTTTTTCCTATTTTTAGTGTTATTTTATTATTATTATTATTATTATTATAGCTAGAATAGAATATTGGGTAAAGTATTTCATACTTTATTGGTTTCTTCGAAACATGAGCAAACAATAAGTGACCATAATTATAAGATACCAGCAAGCAAGTGAATATCTTCAGCAACTCAACTTCGTTTTGTTAATAACAAGTTACTTTTAACTCTCCGTCTGGATTAGGAAAAATAACTCAAAATTTAATTAAAAGTTTGAAATTTAAGAGGAGAATTGACAATTCTCTTCTTTGGCAATTAAACACGGAATTTATTAAATGACACGCAGAAAAAATCATGGAAATTTGGGCATCAAATTCCCGAGTTTAATGTCTACAAAAATAGGTGTCATTTCACAATTTCTATAATGTCATTTACAAAATTTGACATACATAAATCCAAATACTGAAATCTTCAATTGACAGAAATTTAAATGATGGAAATTTAAATTCCGTCATTTTATAATTTTATGTAATTTTCAATTCTTTGATCCAAAAGGAGGGTAAATTTTTTTTAACCATTCATTTAAAACTCCCTTATTACAGAGTACACTCCAAGGTGAAATAGTTGACGTATAATGATCAAATACGTTTTAATTTTTTTCAATATAATTGTTGTTGATTTGGTTAGCCATAATTTTGTGCGTATGTCGAAATTTATACCATGTTGTTTGGGAGCTTAAGCTTTTTTTTTCTTTCCTTCTTTTGATAGGGAGCTTAAGTGTTTGTAGGTTTAGGGTTTAGTATATAAGGCTTGTGGTGAAAATATAATTAAATGAAAGTTTAAAATGACATAGCCATAGACATGCGTTTCCTTTTTTGAAGAAATGGAATTCTATTGAACCAAACAAACGGTTACAAGTCCGATATGCAAATAGTGGCCTCGTTAAAACTTTTCTAGAGACAACCCAATGGAACAAACTCAAGTTGGAAACAAATACAACACATACCATTACAAAGCCAATCACACACTCCTATTCTAAAAGGAAGAACACCAACACACAAATTGCTGGCGTGATGCCATCCCCAACAAACCAGACTGAAAAACACTACCGTGGCATCCACAATAGACAAACATTTCTTGTATTTGGAAAAACTGGATTCCTATTAGAATCCCTAATCACAAATGTTGAAGTTCCAAATAAAGGTGTGACAATCATACTAAAAAATTCTCCAAATAAAGGTGTTGAACGTTTAATATAAAGATCTAATTCAATATGCAAAAATCATCAAAACTGATCAAGGATTGGATTTGGAGAGAGGTAATCTAATGAATATTTAAATAATTAACTCTGAATAGATCATAATTTTGTCATATTTACTCATCACAGGATGTCATTTATCTCTATTTTGTTGAAGGTGGATTTCATGTTTTTTTGTTTTGTTTTAAAAAAAAATTTTAATATATGTTCAGAGTGATGTTATTTCCAGCATCTAGTCTTATTTATCGACTCACCCTATATTTCCATCCTAGTAAAATTGAAGAAAGAAAAATCATCAATCACTTTAATGGTAAACACTCTTCTCACCTCCCTTCCTTAAGGATTACCAGCCCACTCTCTCTTCCACCATGTTTTGTTTCTTCCATAAACCCTAAAGCCATTTTCACGTCAAAATTTCCATGTTTTTTATCATTCAATTTTGATCAAAGAATTGATGGCTATATATAGAATAGGGTTGAATACTTTTTTTCGGTTATTGGGATTTACACAAAAATTCAAACTGGTCACTGTGTTTCTAAAAGTTTACAATTTATATACATTCAGCTTTCTTTGGTTAAGTTTTATTTTTATTTTTTTAGGAAGCATTTTCAGTTTTCTTCCTCTAACTCAACAAATTAAGGTATATTGTATTATTAGGGTTTAATAAATTGGGGCAAAATCTTGGCTTGAAATCAAAATTGTGAGGTATAAGGAAAATAAAAAAACCAAACCAAATTAAAATGAAATCAACAACTTACCAATATATTTTGGTGCTCTACCACCTTAATTACGTCTCATTGCCATCCGAAGTCACAATATGGTTCTCGCTCAATCAATTTAGGCTTCAATATAACATCCAATTCGTGACGTTATACCTCACAATTTCGATTTCAACCCAAGATTTTTCCCAATTTGTTGAACCCTAATAGCACAATATATCCTAGCTCATTGAGTTAGAGGAAGAAATTGAACGTGCTTCTTTAAAAAAATTTAATTTTTTTTTAAAAAAACAGCACTTGATAACGGAAATGTCTTTAAATTGTGAACTTTGGGAAACATAGTGTCCAATTTGGCTAAATTTTTTTCTCAATGACCAAATTGAATTTTCTTATATAACACAGTGACCAAAAAGGTATTTAACCTTATAGAATATATAGATTTTATGCTCACTAATGAATGGAAGATCACACATAGATGGATCAGAACCAGTTTTGAGAGGCTAATTGAGAATTGTAATTAATAACTTGTTTCCTCATATGTTGTATGTGGGAGAGCCAAGGGGGAGACTGTTGTCCGCTAAAAACTTGGTAGATTCCATCCAATAGTGACAAATCACAAGATTATGTGGTGTTTACAGATTATAACCCGCCACATCAAACACCAGCCAACAGAAAATTAATTAATTAGATCAATGATATTTGTTCCACCGTGGTTGGCTGATCAAGACTACCTTTAAAGAAAACTGTGAAATTGCTTTAAGTTACCTTTTGACAATGAAGGATTGAATGATATGGGAGATGAAGACAACATGATTAGCATTAAACAAACAAATTAGCAAGGGCCTAAGAGCATCTACAAAGAGCTCCCTAAATCACATTCTTAGATAAATTTTAGGGATGAATTATAAAAATACAACTCCAACCATACTCCTTATCCACCTCCTA